GCCTGGGTTCAGGCTGCCGGCCCTCTGCCTGCAGCCCTGTAGTCAATGGCAACCTCCTGATGGTTTCCATGGCAGCAGGACAAATTAGTGCTGATGAAGTCCCTCAGGAGGGAGAGGAGACCCCGATGGCTCCAGGGCTGATGTGCTCCCACCCCATCTCACCTGCCCGGGGGGGACATCTCCCATCGCCTGCCAAGCCAGCGGCACACTGGGGTGCTGGCCTTAAAGCCTGGATCATCCCAGGCAGCTCCTGGATAATCACCTGAATCCCATGAGCCTCCTGCAGCTCCTCTTAGCCTAATCCAGCCCTGTCACCTACTGGGGCTGACTCCAGCCTCCTGCCCAGCCCTGGCACTTGGGCAATGCCAAAAAGGGCTCTGAATGATGCTGAGGCCAGATCCTGGTGACCCATATCCCATGGTATCCCTGTGCCAGCCCAGCAGGTATTTCTGCAGCAACAGGAGCCCCAGGAAGACCCCCACCACGGAGCTTTGCTGATAGGGACAGGACCAAGGGATGCTGTGGCGCAGGGGATGTCCCCTCCTCCTGTAGCTGCCCCGGGGCTGCCCCAGGCTTCCCTCCAGCATCTCCGGTGGGAGGTGGGGAACAGGGATCCCTGAGTTAACTCTGTGCTTCCTCCTCCGGCAGCGTGATAGAAAACCACCACGGCGTGGATGGGGAGGAGTACGCGGTGGAGTACCCCGACTCCGGCGAGGGCTGCCTGCTGCAGTGCGACTGCTCGGCCGAGTGCTACCGCGAGGACAGCGGCCACCGCGAGTACAGGTCTGGCCTCACCAAGCAGGGAGCGAGGGGAGGGAGTCCCCGTGGGGGGCACAGAGCCCAGGGGACTGTCCCTTCTCCCCCCAGCCCTGCCTGCTTTGTTCCACAGGCTGAAGAGGCGCTCGAGCAGCTCCACCTCTCCTCCACCCAAGAAGAAGAAGAAGAAGAAATCAGGTCACCGCCGGAGCCGGTGAGTCCCAAGTTGTCCCCATGCTCCGAGGAGGGCAGCTCTCCTCCCACCTCATCCTTTCCCCATGCTCCACGGGGCAAGTGCCCCCGCTTTGAGGGGCAGTGCACCCCAAAAAGTGCACCCTGAAGAGGTGCAATGCACCAGTGATGCAACACGTGTGTCCACACACACACAGTGCTATGGGGTGCACTGCCAGCCCACCCAACTGCATGCACTGGTGGGGCCTTGCCCTGTCCATGCTGGGCACAGCACCGGGCAGGATTTGTCTCCCTGAGGGCTCTGGCTCTGTCTCTGTCTGCCCGCTGGTCCCACCCCTGGTTAGCGCTGGCTGCCTGGGCAGGATGCTGTCCCTAATGTCCCTTTCTTCTCTGCCTTCCCCACGGCAGCAAAAAGAGGAAACCTGGCTCGGAGCGCAGGTGAGTGCCCTGGGCTGGGTGGGCTGCGGGGTCCCCACCAGGCATGGGCTGGCCTTCCCCATCCACTCTTCCCCATCCGAGATCCCAGCGGGAATTGGCTGCTCCGTCTCCTGCTGGAGGCTGCGAAGCCCATGAAGTGGCAATGGGCACAGTGGGATTTGAGTGATCCAGCAGAGCCCTTCTGCCAAAATCCCCTTTCTATCTCCCAAATCCCCCCAGGAAGTAACTCCCTTGTGATGTTCATGCATGTTGTGGGTTGTCCAGGGGAAGCGGGGTGGTGGGGAGCAATGGGATGGGACATCCTTGGGCCACAGGGATGGGGAGTCTCTTGCTCCCCCATCAAGGACACCCACTTCCCCCCCTCCAGCTGCGATAGCTCTTCACCCATCCGCAAGGAAAAGAAAAAGAAGACTGGAAAGAAACACAGACGTGATAGGTAGGATGGACACTATGGCAGGG